CAATCATCTTTTGATGATTCTGGATTATAGATTAGCAAAAAATAATAAGAGCCGTTGAAACAACAAGTTTTTATGTCCCAAGAAAACGGTGGCCAGACATTTTACTCAATTTCGTTTAGTTCAACGTTTTTGTGATCCGATAAAGATTATCCGATAGATTTTCGTGCAATGCTGTATAAACCAATAGTTTACTTATAGTCAAGTTAGAAGTAATGGTATAATTGCTGAGATTTCGCTAAATAATGGGATCTAACCTTTAGATGCCCAAGCCGGGTCAACGTGACCCAAGGATCGCTGAAAACATGTACTTCGCGGGTTTTATGGGGCCGGCACATCCGAACTTTAGATGTACGACTAAAAATACATCTTGAAAAAAGAATAAGACATAAAATTAAAAAAAGAGAAAAGCAAGCGGGAAAGTTCTAATACTGTCGTATTAGAAAAGCGCTCAGGTGTTAGTCAATGTATTTAGTGAAGGAAGGAAGTATAAACTCCGTCGACTTGGCTGGGTAATGAAAATAGAACATCAGCTGATAGCAAACAAAGGTTACCAAGGAAACCGTAAACGCGTTTTTTCGTTTCCCGAAAATGATAGTCACCGTTGATCTCATCAGGCGCGTTTTTTCTAGGCTTCATTTGAGTTCAACGGTCAATTTCGATAAGAAATTACTCTACCGCTAAGAAATTTTCTTATAGGCAAACGATCGAAACTACCTGCGCATTACGTTAAAAGCGTAAAATACGATTTTCACAGCTTTATTTATTTTAAAACTGGACCCCCCCAAAAAGCCTACACATCTATGAGCTGGTGCGCCATTTAAACGAATTAGCACTAGTATACTAGTACTCTAGAGGCAAGTCGAAATCAAAAAGCGCTGCCTATCGGCTGAGCGCTTAAAATCGAATACCAACACAGCCGAAGATAGGAGTAAAGTTTTTGGGTCTGGTTTTTTGAAACTTTTTCTCCCGAACCAAAGCGACAGTTCATTGACAGTCTAGAGCGAGACTTCGCGAGTTCACGCCTCACGCCGTAGCGCCTTCAATTTTGCAGATGCAACTCGGACATCCATCAAGCACGAATAGTTGTATCCCTGCGCCGTCATCAGTGCGTGTCCTTTTCCTTGCTCTATTTCCATGGTGTGTTGGTTCCATTTTTCTTATGGGTGCTTCAAGAGCTACGTTAGCAAAACAGCCAAAGTATAATTTAGATCTTTGTTGGCCAAACTAGGTATCGGGTAAAAAAAATTAGACAAATTATCTAGCTACCATATGAACGGGACATCACCCTTAAAAAACGTGGCTTGGGACCACAGCACCACATCACATTCAATTTTAAGGGATAACCCATAGAACTTTTTTGCCGTGTTTATTAGAGCGCGTTTCTATTCCCGAGGAAGTCTCAAAGTCTATCAGCCGTTATTCCGCAGTTGAAAAAAAATATGGTAGATTTTACTATACTTAAACGCAGTTATACGAGTATGGTAATAAACACAGATTTCTATGGTGGCATATACCATAATATCGAAGGTATCGCCAGAGTCCTGGTGAATTCTACTATCATTCTAGTAATTTTCACTAAATAAAATCACTGTGTAAAATATCAAGTAGACTATAGTAAATGTTACCATACTTTTAGTCCAGCGGCAAGTAGCTCATTCTACACGATACACGGCAGTACTAGCATTATTGTTCCATCCATAAACGCATTGTCAATCCAGATGAATAGTGCGGGTTGTATTAAAGGAGATCATCGAATCCAAAACTTTGTTGAGCGACGCGGCAAGTATTTCTCCGGGCGTAACGAGTCACTGTCACATCGGAGTCCCGGAAATTACTTTTCAAAGCGTCCTACGTCAGATGGGCCAGGAGAGAGGGCTCTCTTTGTGGGATCGCGGGCGATATTTGATACCTTGCGCAGGTAACTTTCCTCTGTTATCGGGAGACCGCTTTTTAATTCCAGTGTTTCGACGAAGCCGCGTTTTACCCATCAGCAACGGAGAGCACTCAACGGAATTTTTTTAGAAATGCCGTCAATGAATTTTCTCTTACACCGTGCACTATTCACCAGAACGAACTGAAATATGACAGCAGGCAAAAATGTACTATTTTAAAGCGCCAAGGCACAAAATGTCTAATAAAAAAATCCCAGTTGCAAAAAGGGTCGCTTTAAAGTTTTCAACGAGCAATGTGTCCACTGCAAATAAATAGTTAAAGGAGAGGTGGATTGCATTTAGCAAAAAGGAACCAGCGTGATTACAAAGTTGTAAAAATGTTGCTTCTTCATCATTATCTGAAAAATCTCCCAGGAAAGCGAATAGTTTTGGCTTCCCATCAATGAAGTGTTAAATTTTAAGGTAAATAAGTCCGTAAATTTTAACACTGTAGTTATATTAAGTATTTTTAAAAGAAAAGGAGAAGTTGCACGATTTTGACAACTGTAATGGCGCTGGTTCCTTTTTTTCTAAAAACGATCCAAGTAGTCCCTTGTCAACGACTGCCCTCAAAAATAGTCCCACCACAAAAACAATGTTCTAATGATAAAGTCAACAATTATTTTGTCCCATCGCTTATCTTTTGAGACGCTCTCCGGTGACTCTATCTCTAGTAATTGTCTACCTAGTTTGGATATTTTTCAACAATGTACTTCTTGAATTGTGATGGAGGACGTTTGACATTTTCTTTTCCTCATTTTCATTTTTGGGCATTTTTGACAGTTTAATATTTGAATTCAGCTTTTAAACATTCAAAGATCAGCATCCAATTTTTGCATCTCGGTGGGCGCACGCAAAAAAGACCAAAAAAACTTGTCTTCTGGTTCAAAATTTGTACGAGGAGTCTATCGAGAGATTTAAAAAGACAACGTTTGATCGTATTACGACTGGCTAAGTGAGTTTCTCTTTAATCATGCTTGTTCTCATATTACTTCATTCACTCGTGTATTATAGCATATTTATGTAGATCTATGTTAATAATTGAGTCAATAATTAAGATAGGTCTTTTCCCTTTTTATTTTTGATTAATTACCTTTTTTGCAATAATGTTTCTAATATTAGCAACCCTCCTCGCAAAAACAGAGGGGAAAAACAAGGAATCTATTAAGCTTATCAAAAAAACCAACGAAGGAGACCATGCCAAAATCGAATTCGTGGTCCAGTGCCAAGAGCTAAGGTCGGGGACCGTAGCGCCCAGCCAATAAGGAGAAGGGGGCTCTTGAATGAGAGGGGGTCTGAAAAGGAACGGGATTCTTGGAGGAAGAGAGCTCAAGGCAGTGTAGACCCGCGGCGAAACTTTTAACGGGGTCCCGAAATGATTGCCTCCCGACGTATTATACCCTCTGCCCCTGTTCGATCGTGAGTTGCTCAGATTTGGTCGTGGGTGGGGGGGGGGGGGGACTACGGTGAGGGTATAACTCGAGCGAAACGGAGTGTTTCAAACCCCTCCCCTTTCTTAAAGTTCTCTGCTCTGTGCGAGGTTGTCAACGTTCAAGGGGTCGACCCGTTAACCCCTGGGTCATCTAAATAAAACACCTTCAGATTATAGTATGGATAAGGGGCGAGGTGCTACAATGAACAGGTGGCATAAACACTCGTTGCTGGAAAATGGAACGTCAAATGACATTGAGTTAAGCGCAAATTTCAAGGAGAAGTGAATTGAAATCCTATTCCCAATCATCCTCCGATCAATTTTGTTCTCGATGAGGTTACATTAAGATTGAGGGTGATTTACGAAGCTTCTGAAACAGCATCAAGAAACACTCATTTTCCCCAGTTTAGCATAAGATGTAGGATTTAAACGTCGAACACACTACTACTTTCAAGGTTTGGTCCGTTCGGTCCTTTTAATTTAATTGTTTGTTCATTATAGTTTGTTGAGGATATGGTGGTCTCCGGATACCTTGGAGCTGTGGGGTATCGGCTTTCGTATTGATGAGGTTTATGAATTAGGGAGGGGTCACATTATTCCGAGAAAGGAATCTAAAATCCCAACACTCTGGGGATATCTCTTACTTTAGGGGGTGTAAACTAGACTACGTTTTGCAATTGAATCGTTCCTGTTAGACAAGCGTAGGTCCAAGAACTCATGAGCTCTAGCTTTCGTTTATCATGTTGGAGACTAGGGGTCATTAGTTCTTGGACTTACGCCCGTCCATCAGGAACCGATTCAATTAGGGTCTAGTATTTTTGGCTCGTTTCATGAACATAGTATGTATCACTACATTCCCTGTGCAGATGGTTTATTGTATGGATGAGCAATAAAAAATAACAGTTTCTCATAGCAGAATGCAGTCAAACTAATACCATTCATAATACACTTCCTCTAAAAAAATTTACGTAAAACGTGATTCTCGAAATGTTTGAAAATCAACTTCTGAATGATATGTAAGTATGTATAATTACCAATCGTTGAGTGTTCATAACGCAAATGACGTCAGAGTTGGCTTACCGTTTCTACCCGATGAAAAACTGGGATGTGTGCTCAAGCGATGGACGTTTAGTATATTATTTTACTCTTTTTCAGTCTATTTTGAAAGATAGTTTTCACATATTAGGTAACGTCTCGGGAAAACTCTAAATTACACAGATGACCCATAAAAATTATCAGTGATTATACTAATGTGTCCTGCAAAATTGATTGTAAATGTGGTTAAAAGTTTGTAGACGTTGGCCAGCCTGGGAGATAATGTCATTGCGCATGCGTGAAAATATTGCCAACTTTAGATTATGCGCAAGCAGTCATTCATCGTTAAGTGACCACTTACTCGAAAGCAAACATGACCCTGGGAAATGCACTTCAAACCTTTTGAGAGCATGCAAATAAAAAACCGGATTGATAAATGTATGGGAGCAGTGAAAGATCGATAAAGTGAAGAATATCAAAGACCTGTTAAATGCTCATATTGAAGCCAGGTGGCACCCTTGATCATGCCCCCTCTCTCTGTCCTCTCCAAACTTATCTAGGTAAACCCGTTTGTTTACATACCGATTGTTGACTAGCGATTGTTGACGTGCTCCGGTCGCGATCGGAATCAATGCGTAAATTATCGGTTTTAATCATTTTTTTGTTAGAATGTTTGAAGTTGTATCGTTGCATGGTTTAATTTCGTCGTGGCTGTTTGATTTTGACGTGTTTTAACTGGTACACAAGTTGGCCTGAAGAAAAGTAAAGTAATGCCCAAGATGTGCATCGCCTGATTGCATGTTCCGTTGATAGAAAACGGAAGCCAACTCCGCGATGATGAATTCCGATTACGTTCAACATTTTGTAGAATGATTCGCTAGTCGATCGATCAAGTGATGATTTTTGGATTTTAAATTATTTATCAAGAGTTTTCGAACAGCACAATGCATCTACAGCAGCTACAGTTCATCAGGTATTTTTACACAATTTTACCAAAAACCACATCGAAAAAAAAAGGATGCTAACTTAACACTCTGGATGTAAAAAAGTGTGCAACAACTCAAGAAACGCTGAAGTTACCGCCCAAGCAGTTACTATAGGAATGTCAAGATGTAAAACTAACTGCTGCGGTGGTTAATTCAGCGTTTTGAGAGGTTTCGCACACTTTTTTACACCCAGAACGTTAAGTCAGCATCCTTTTTTTCCGGTGAATTTTAAAATAGTTTTAAAAGTATGCCCCCAGTGAATGTTGCAAATTAACAGGAAACGAGGTTTGCGACTCTTGAGGCAAAACTACAAATAAAACAAATAGAACCAACGCAACATGGAAATACAGCAAAGGAAATGACGCGAATTGATGACGGCGCAGAGATACAACTGTTCGTGCTTGATGGGTGTCCGTATTGCGTCTGCAAAATTGAAGGCGCTATGCCACAAGGCGTGAACACGCACTTCTCCGCTTTATGCTGCTAGTGAGATGTCACTCACATTCGGGGCTAACGTTAAAGACGAAGCCCGAATACGTCTATCCTTCTTCGGCTGTTTTGACACTAGATTTTTTAAATTTGATTTTTGATTCTTTTTGTAGGGTGTATTTATGAACCTACATGTAAAACTCATAAGTACGGGCTCGGGGGCTGTATGGGCCCCAAAGCCCGTGATTTCACACGCGTTTTCAGCAAGCGTCCGGTCAATTCGACCCAATTTCGGCTCTTGAGGGTGAGAAATGTCCTAAAATCAAGAAACTATTATTGAAACGTTCACCAAAGTGCTGGAAAACCACATTCACCAATTTCTTTTTACTTACAAATTACGAAATTTACATGATTAATTTTTCTTTTGAACAATGTTAGGTATACATCGTCATGTCTCACGCGTTAATCTCCCGTTGCATGAATTTCTCATTACGTAAAACACATTTAACGTGGTATTTTTAATTCATACTTTGTCTTGTGGCCCATTGAAGCTATCTTTTCGAGTGTAACAAATGAGCGAAGTCTGCAAATAAAGGTTAGGATTGTCATGTGAAAGTGTAATTACAATTAGCCCACGTTATCTTAAAATTACGAACAGAGCAACAAACCGAGGAGCGGGGCTGGCAAAAGAGGATGATAACGAACTCTCGAAGCATATTTTTTCGTTTCCCGGACGAGAAAACGCAACTCTATTCCAAGGTTGCCAAACTGACGCAAGGAATTCAATTTTTTACAATAAATTACCTGCGCAATTTCCGTTGAAAATTTATCTGATTTCGGCATGAGGTCAGAAGATAAATCAGTAATATTATCCATTGAAAATTCCCCAAATTCTCTCGGTTGAAGCGCATTTTGCGCGGGGAAATTCGGCAACATTGTAATGGAGTTACGTTCTTTCGTGAGAAAAAGGACGAATTGAGCCAAGGGTGGGGGGTTGACGGGGGGATGGTAGAGGGGATGGATCGGCGAATCTTGACGTGCAAGAATGCAGACGAGACATTTGAATTTTTCATGAACACATTTTTCCGTGTAAGCACGAGCCTTGTAAACCCTGACAACTTCTTTATCACCCCGTGTCTCGCGGATTAAGCGCGAGCCACGCGAGAGAGGAACTTTCGAAGTAACATAAATTACGTTGCCTTTATTTACATAACCGACCCCGGCCCGCGCCCGGGTACCCTCGCGAAAATCGCGTATCCGCCCGCAAACACAATGAGCCGGTTACGCTGTTCTTGCACGGCGGGGTGGAGTGTGCACTTAAGAGAACGCGTGAATGAAACAAGTTCATTTTCCTTTGGCTCTTTGTGTTCGCGTTTTTTTTTTTTTTTTTTTTTTTTTTTTTTTTTTAATCTTGCGGAGACCCCACTTCGGTCACTGTCCTCCTATGGCAATTAAGCTCACCGTGCACAAGGTGGATTCCCTCAGGTGGAACAACGGTCGGGGGCAAAAAAAAAAAAAGGAAGTCAGGAATTTAATACCCGGGTATTAAAGGAAGCACTGAGCAGTCAGCGGAGTTAAAATTAAAAGTTGTCCATTTTTTGGAGTTGGAGTACTTAGCGCAGAAAGAGATTAAAGTCATCGTGAGATTTTCGCCACCGATAATTACGTTAGAGTCTTGGGATTTGTGGGACAGTTAAACATTTTTGGTCAGTACTGAGATACCTCTACGTCGTTACAAAAAGGGAACACGAAGAGGTAAGGCCCGAACTGGATGTTACATGGTGGTAAGATAGTGCTGGGTTCACACTTTTTTGTGGGGTAAACATGATTAAAAATTTCAAAAATTTGGAGCTCTAATGAGAGACAGTACAAGAAAAAGGAAAGAGAGAAAAACCATGGTATAAGAGAGCTGAACACGCTCACCCTGAGTATTGTATTGCTACCAGTGGCGTGGCGTACTTCGATATATATCGAAATTTCCCAATTTGAAGCTACGGTAAAGAATCGATTATTAAGGTGTTCGTTGCGAACACCCTGATAATCGATCCGTTTCCGTAGGTTTAAATGGCAGATCGATCGATACATCGCAAAGCACGCCACGCTACTGATTGCTACTAAATAGAGCTGAAAGTCTTGGACTCAAATTGAAATATGTGAACTTTTTGACCTTATTTCCCCCGAAAATTAGTGTGGACCCATCACTCTTTTACCACCTTGTAACATCGTTACAAGTTAGTGAGCGACTTGGCTTAAAATTTGTTTAAAAAACCGCGGACAAATTTTAATGCTAGCGTCACGTTTTCGAATTTCAAATATTACAGGGGAGTTGAGTTGGGATATTTATTTTAAAAAAAATAACGAAATAGACAAAGTTTTGGATAGTGCTGAGTTGCATTTACATTTAATAGGTCGGACGAGTCAGTGACGTAAAGTTTTAGGGATGATTCGGAATGTTCGCGGCGCATTTACAACATTCCTCGCGTGATTAGACTTATAATAATCATCGGTGCTGAAATTTTGTCTCAATTTTAACATCAACGCCAGCAATTTGAGGCTAGATATCATAACGGCCAAAATGAGGTCATGACGAGATTCGTCGAGATTCGAGATTCTATGCATTCCAAAAGAGCGAGCAACTACCAATCCCGCATCAGGCGCACCTCCCTTTAATTGGACGTATTTCTGCCAAACGGAACGATGTGCATTTTGACGTGAACCCTGTTATGCATAGATTCTTATGGGTTGCAGGGCTCATGTCTTAATGCGCATAGTTCCGTTTGGCAGAAATACGTCCGATTGGTACTCTATTCTGGAATGCGCTTAGTTCCGACCGGCAGAGTTAAGAGACATTTAGACTAAATCCAGCCACCACGAATATGCGGTGTTTCTCTGGACAAGGAAACTCAAAGGTTTCAAGTACATAATCCTCTCTCTTTTTGACAAACAAAGAGATGATATTTTGGTCCTTATACATCGAGGAGTTTGGTAGATTTTTCATTGGTTTGAAATTTGATGTTCCGATTTCCAAGTGGTGACTTTTCAACGAATTTCAACAATAATTTGACCGCGTTAAGGAGAAAAGATCAATCATTTGTCAAATTTGTCAACCCCCCCTGTACCAATATACAGTAACGTTTACCTTTCTTCTGGCAGAATTGACTCTAAATTGACGGTATTTGAAATACAGCGTGGAGGAATGGTAAATTCTACCAATCTTTTTTTTCAGTGCGGTAGTTCAAAATAAGTAATATTTGTGGGCTAAACTTTTATCGAAGAAATTGCTGTACATTTTCCTCCCAATGAATTAATTTTGATGTTTTAAGAGCAGAATTCTGATAGTAAAATAAATCATGAAATCAATGAGGTTCATTTACCCACGATTTAAGGAGGTTAGACGAGGAAAAGAATTTTACAGGAAACGAAGCAACAAAATAAGTCTGTAGCAGTAGTCTGTAAGAGTTACTACCAGTTTTTCAGCAGGATAGTTAATGTCGTGCTATCAATGTTGCCAAGTGAGGGAACGTTTCTTTCGCGTTCATCATAAAACACAACTTCACAGTCTTTTTTTGTTGGATGGTACGCAACCCTTGAAATGCATGCAACGACATAGAAAAAGTTCTAAAAACCGAACATGCTTTGAAGCTGCAAACTTTGTTCCGCTTGGTGACTTTTAATGCCATGACTCTCGTTGACTTGTCATCAGGATTGCCAAATCAACGATAATTATTTATTCGACCTTTTACACGGTCAACTTTCAATTTACTTGTTGGCATCGATGCAATTCGCGAGGTAAAAAAAATACGAATCCGAGGTTGCAAAGGTACGCAATAAAATTGGCGTTTTGCAGCGTATCGGGATTTGAAATATTCGAGGTCTCTGACAGCGCTGAAAGATGTCGGAATTCGAATAGAAATGTATCGCTTTAAATTGAGACCGGTAGCTAGTCTGTTTGAACCAAAATTGAAGGTTAGGATGAAAGAAAGTCTTCGGTTCAATGTCGCTGGTGGCATTTATTCGTCTTCTTTAATGATCATACACTCCCAAATGTTAGACTTTTATGATAACCTCCTCCAAGTAATGCCAATGGTACGTCGTACAGTGACGTACCATACGTTCTTCTACTGACTCGATCCACTGTGCTTCGGTACCTCGCTATTTCGGTTCAAAGCATCCTGCTGTAAAACAGTACTGGAAAAAAAGAACACATTGGATCTTGAGTCCAGACTCTTGAAAACATTGACAAGAAAAAGGACTCTTGATTCAATCAGATTTAAGCTTAAATCAAAAGGAAATCCGCTCAAATTAAGAGGCTTGGTTCTTGATTTCAGCATGAATCAGATTGAATCACGAGTATTTTTTCTTGTCGATGTTTTTAAGAGTCTGGACTCTAGATCCAATGTGTTTTTTTTCTAGTGAGCAGTACACATTGCTGTCCCCAAAAACTGCCCTCAGCAGACTCGAGAAATACGAAAAAAAGTGGCCCAAACAACGCAAATTGCGAACTAAGTAGTGGATTCCAAACCTCCTTAATGTGACTATCATAATTTCCGACCTTTAG